AGGGGACAGAGTTCAACCACAAACATCCCCTCAATAAATCCAGATGTTTCAATGATTAGTTAATTTTATTGGGAAGTTTTAGAACAACATCTTTAGTTACATAGGTTTGCTTCTTTTTTTTTTTTTTTTCCTATTCTTTCTTTCTCTCTCTCTTTTTTAAACCAGTAGATTAACTTTGGGCAGAAATAGAAAGTTCGCTGCTCCCAGTCCTATATTTGTGAGGATTTCCCATCAATTCAGATCATCTGGATTCCAGTGTTTTGTTGGTCTCATCTGAAAACAATGCCTTTACTCTGGTTTTTTTTTCCCCTCGTACCACAGAAGCAGAGCTTGAACAAGTTAGGGCATAGTCCAGCTTTAAGCCTGTCCACTCTTCAGTTCTAGAGAATGCCTTTTGCACTGCCAGGACAAAAGTGGAATTAGATTTCTCAAAAATTGATATCGTGAGAAGAGTGTGCTGCCGGGGATTGATGGTGCTTTGTTCTACGCTGTTTATGGCAGAAGCACAGCACCCAGCACGTACCAGGTGTTGGACAATACCTGCTGGCAGTCCCAATGACCATTCATCACTTTCTGGAGAGATGAACGATCATAAGCATAAAGAAGAAAAATTCACAAAATATTAGAATTAGAAGTGAATTGGCAGACCTTCTTGGAAATACTCTTAGAAGGCCATTCTTGGTTACTGGAGTTCTTCTTGACTCTCCTGTGCCACTGGTTTTCAAAATAAGTAACTGGTTAGGAAGGCTATTGCTTCTGACTGGGAGCTAATCTCATCAACTCGGCTGGCTGGGCCCAGCCAACTCCCCTGTATCTCCTTTGGATATTTAAAATCATATCCTGTGGGATTCGCTGTAGGAGAATTGCCAGCCTCATACTTGTTACAACATTGACCTATTTCTTAATAGCCATTAATTTGCTTAGTTATACAAGGATAAGTACCCAATTCAGGCTTAATGAGGCCTCGGTCAGTACAAAGACACAGCCCTACTCAAAAACTGGTGAAGGTGAAATTTTGAATCTAAAGTTCTATAAATGGCGTTGCTGGCCAAAAATATTTACCCAATTCTTACCCTGCACTCTGAAGACCGAGAGCCACCCCTGACCCCAAGCAGTGTGGGTCAGATGTCAGACAGGCTTATAGGAAACCTGGCTAAAGCAGTAGCTGAATCCGGGTTCAGTGGCACACACCTGTAATCCCAGCCACTTGGGAGGCTGAGGCAGAAGGATCCCAAGTTCAAAACCAGCCGGGGCAACTTAGTGAGATCCTGTCTCAAAGTAAGAATTAAAAAGGGCTAGGGATGTAGCTCAGTAGTAGAGCACTTGCTTAGCATTTCCAAGGCCCTGGGTTCCATCCCTAGCACCAAAAGAAAAAAGAAAAAAAAAAAAAAAGCAGTAGCTAGTGAAGGCAGCACCAGCACTTTCCCTGAATTTGACTTGAAATTTTTTATTCTTATTATGTTTGGACCTTCAGAAGATTCATTCAGCCAAGCTGACTTATGACACGAAATAACCAGTTAACCATACCTACTAATCACATAAATATGGTTTATGGAGTGATGTAAAATGGTTTATGAAATCATTTTTGAAACCATCTTTTCAACAGTAATTACACCGGTTCTGTAATACCTTAAAGCCAGTGATGTTGGCAAGAATTAGCCTAAGCATCTTTAATATTCTGATGATTATCATGCGAAATTGCCACGGCAATAAAATGACAGGGTTGTGCTTAATTTCTCTTCTTCCAGCGCATTTCCCTTCTATTTTTCCCCTTTTACATTAAAACATACTTCATAGCATTTCATCATGGGAGAAGGCTGCGTAAGTTTCCAGTTGCTGTAATTTAGTTAAACCATAAAATTGTTTCCAGATTACCAACCATGAAATGGAAAGACAATCTTATTTATGAATTTATAAATCAGATAATCTCCCTCAAATGAATCCTGAAACCAGAAACTCTTTGATGATTAACTAAGAGGGGGAAACTTTTCTCATTACCATGTGTCAAAAGAATTGTATTTTCGTAGGGTGGTTTTGGCTGAGACAGACGCTGCCGTGCGTTGCCAGCCGCGCTGTCCTCAGACCCTGCTGTTTTCTGGGCAAAGGAAGAGATGCGCTCCCCATCTGCTGCCTGGCCCAAGCATCTGAACCCTCTGAGGAGGACGTCAGTCATCTGACTCCATGTCTCTGTTACATTATTATGTCCTTCCTGGTAGCCCTGCAGGGGACGCTGCCTGGAAGAGGCCACCAAGGGAGGGTTCATGCACTAACTCCCAATACTAGAAGGAGCCCAGAGCACCTGGATGCCCACTGGACACAGGGCTTTGGTTCCTGAACAGCTCATCTCAGGAAGTCCTACAACTATGTCCTGAAAGATAAGGGAATGAGATGTGATTGGGGAATTGTCTCTTTCCACATCCTAAAACCTTTATCTGGGGAAAGCCCAGGGGAGAATCCAGGTACCCACAGAGCTGGGGAAAACACCTGTTCCTCCTGCAGACTCTTGGGTGGAGATGACTTGGGCTGTGCTGTGACCTTCTAGATTTCTAACCATCATGATAAACCAGTTAAAGATCAATGTTCTTTATCCAGAATCATTCTGGTGCTATGTTTGGGGGCATTTTGTTGTTGTTGTTGTTGTTGTTCGCTGTTTCATTATTTTTCTTTTTTTCCTACTCTTCTTTCTTGGGTAAGGTAATGAAAGCCGTTGATCAGAGAGGGACCAGAAGGAACCCCTCAGAGCTCCAGTGGTGTAATCGGTCAGTGCAGACTACTTTCAAGAACACTGGTTTAACCCTAATCAGCATTGTGCCCAGGAACAGCGTTGGAATCCCAGCATTCCCTTCTACCACTTCCCTCTTAGCAGATTCTTCTTTATCCTATACAGCTGTAGATTTGCTTTTTTTTTTTTTTGCATTTCTTAATATTGCTGTCTTCTTTGCATACTTGGGCTGTCACCGTGCCTCACTATCTCACACCCCAGTTGTACAGAACCCTTAAGCCACTTCTTAACCACAGCCATCTAGAATCTAAAAATGCCATGCCACTTAAAAAACAGAAAAGATATGTTTTTTTGCATTTGCCTGAGATTAAATAAGATGACTAAACCTGTAATTCTGAAGGGAGCCCCTGTCTTAGGGTCATAAATTTGGCTTCAAGCACTGCCGGGGACAGAGCCAGTCCCTGTGGGACAATTAATGGCAATGGAAGACATTCACCTGGTACTGAGCACTTCCCCAAGAAAGTCATTAATTTCCCAAGAGTTTGTGGGTCTGTATCTCCAGCACGATCACCGTCACCCCAATGTTTCTGAGATGTCACTGTGTGATTTGGTTTGATAAACTTGGGATTTCCATTGGGTTTTTACTAAAACTGCTTTCCTTATTTGGATTTCTTACTAATCTTTCTCTTTTGACACATTAACTACTTTATGGGAAAGAGGTGAATCTGAAAATGCTCTACAGCACCCGCGGGTGCACCTGGAGACGTTTGCTGAAGCACTCCATAGAGATGTGTGTCCATGTTCACCATTGGAGATTTCTTTCTGCTCCATTAGAACCAAGAAATAATACTATCAATACTTAATTATTTTTTTTTCTTTTTGGGGTCTACAGCCATTAACTATCCTTACTGTCTAGCTCATGTCCGAAAAATTCAGTGTTGTGACAAACCAACCATTTTAAACTAAAGAAAATATATGGACTTCTGAAGTCAGAGGCTTGGAATTGCAAAACTGAAATTTCACCTGGCATGATAGGTCACATTCCAAGGCCCAACTCATTTCTCCTGTGCTTGAAAATGTTCAATTGCCATAAAATTCAGGACATGCATATATCATCTCTCAATGAGCTCAACTTCATGGAAGAATAGATCACTATGACTTGTACCATTGAGTACCAGATAAAGTCACTGGACTTATTTGAGAGTCTTCATGTGTGCCTATGCTGTTTGTAACATAGGAATCACTGAGGTTCATATTAGAGGACCATGAACTGAGACCCACAGTGGCCACTTATCCCAAGCTCACATAGGACACCTGCTCATGGGGAATGATGGTGAGATACCCATCCTATTTAAGCCATTCTCCCTCTCTTCCTGTTTTAACTACGAGGTATGCATAAGTGAATTCACAGGAGGTGACATTTGATGCTCTCCTCATATAGACAGTTGTTTTTATAATGTGTTGAAAATAATGTAACAGTTCTATGAAACATCTGGGGTCCGGAAATGTGAACCTGTTTGAAATGTCTGACATGACTCTTGTGAACCTTGAAGACAGAGAGGTACGGTATCTGCCCTGAGTCAATAACAAAGGGAGTTTTTTATCGACGCCTTGAGTTATCAAGTTGTTAGGGATGTTCATTTTCCTGCCTGATCCTATAAAAGCCTCTAGGCTAAAATTTCTACAACATTGGATTGAGCATCATCTATTCCCAAACATACACTGATTTCAATCATATTTTCCATGGTCTTAATAAGAGACATTTGCTTGTGTTGCCCTTGGGCTATAAAAGAAGTGTAAATACACACACAGCCAAACATCTCCATCATTCACACCAAAACCATCCTGCAGTCTCCCAGCAGAGAAGAACAGATTACAACTGTGTGTGACTGTGCAGTACCTGACCTAGGGTCTCCCTGGTCCAGAGAGGAGCCGTTTTGTGTAAGGTCAAATAATGAAGCAGGGCAGAAAGACTCAAAAACACATCCTGTGCCAACAAAAGAATTTGAGGGAGATTCCTCCCTTCCTTCCAGTTTTCCGGGAGGCCTCTGCTGGTCTGCACAGTGTCTTTTTAATTGAGGTCACTGTCTTACAACTCTGATCATCCAATCGATCTCAGCCAAGGACTTGCAGGCGCTTCCGGTTTCTGAGCCAGGTTGGGGTGAACTTTGGTGGCTTCTAGGTGGTACCTTTTATAACCCTCTGGTGGATCATTCACCTAGAAAAACCAGTCTGAAAGTCAATAAGAGCTTTAACAAACAATTCTCTTGTTTTACAGAGAGAGGATGCAAGCCATGGAGAAGCAGATTGCCAGTTTAACTGGCCTTGTTCAGTCTGCGCTTTTTAAAGGGCCCATTACAAGTAGTAGCAAAGATGCATCTAGGTAAAAAGAAACCAGCTATCCAATTAAAGAGTTAAATTCAGTCTGTTTCTCTTTAATCATTAAAATCATTCATTCATTCAAATTCCTTTCCTCATAATCATTTCAAGGCTAAAATATTCTCGTCTCTATGAAATCATGATTTTTATATTTGTTTTGTTTTGTTGTTTTTGTTCTGATAATTCTTGGACGAAGGTTAACTTTGGCCCAAGAAGGGTAAATGGGCTTCCCAGTGCATGTGGCTTCATGGACCACTCCTTGCGCAGTGCCCGCAACCGCCATCCACGCGTGTCCACGTCTGCCACCATCTGAAAGTCATGAGTGTGCCTGGCTACATTTCACAGTATCAGATGCACACCCGGGAAGCCTTTTCCATCCAAGCCAGTCATGATGCTGATGACAAAATACCCTCATTGCTTAATCTCATCACTGCTAATTGCTTAGAATCGTGATTGGAAGGTACCAAAAAAATAAGGGCATTTTGGAAAGTACGTAGCTGACTCTCTATTTCTTTCATTCAGCGAGAAAATGATGAAAACAACAGCCAACAGGAACCACACAGAAAGTGCAGGTAAGTAAATGTTCTTGGGAGGTCTAGGAGCCTGCTGGCTTCAGAGCTAGTTAACCTTTCCCAAAGTCACCCAGTTTTTGTGCTTTGGAAGGCTTTTGGGATAACTCCCTACACTACAGCTTCCGGCTAGTGCTGAAAAAGCAGAGTTAGTCATTGATTCAGGGGATGAAAAGTTGTCATCTTTATTCATTCATTCATTCATTCACTTGCTGCTACATTAATTCATTTATATGACCACACACCCAAGACACACTAGTGTGCCTAGCACTAGATAAGGATGGTGGGCATCAGACACAGGGCTGCCTGGACTCCTGTGGGAAAACTGAGAATAGGACAAGTAATTTTATGTGTGTTGAGTTTCAAGAAGGACAAGATAAATGTTTAACCCACAGGGCTAGCCCTTACCAAGAGCATCCCCTTGAGAAAGTGACAAAGTGAAGTACAAAGGATGGCCAGGATTGAGGGAGGTGAACACAGGCAGGAACCATCCAGATGGAGGGAACTCAAGATGTTATCCTAACTGGAAAGTGAAGCCACTGGAAGATTGGACACCGGGGAAACACATCAGCCCAGCTGCAGCGTGAGAATAGGTGAGAAGGGCGAGAACCAGTAGGAAGCAGCCAGTGGACCAGGTGAGAGAAGAAGGTGCATCTGGACCAGGCTCTGCTTTTTAAATGCCAGCCTTCTCCAAGAAGAGGACCATTGCCCTCACTAGAGGAGTTTCCTAGTGTCCAGATATATGCAATGACAGCCTCCCCCTGCATTCCTCAGGCAGGGCTCTGTCAAGAAGATATAGCCTCCCCCCACACACCTCCTTCAAGTTAGAATGGAAATCATTAGCAGAAACGTGTTCAGATGCTAAATTACCCAGAAACATATGTCAAGTTGGGTCAAACCCCTTATTTGGGGAAACCACATCTACTAGTTTTGTGCAGTAGAGTAGAGTGGACAGAATTTGGGACTTAAGTTTAATCCCCTGCTGGCCCTGGTTCACGCTGGCTGAGCACAGTTGAGCTCTAAAGTGAGCAGGGCTGCTTTTCCAGCATTTTGCTTAGAAATCAATCAGTGGCCTTGGCCAAAGCCAGAGAATTATTTCATGGAAATTACTAAAACTTGTTTTCAGAGCAATTGCCAGTTTCTCTTGGAGATAGTTATTCGTTCATTTAGTTTCTTATTTATTATGAACCGGGGGGTGGAGGGAGGAAACTACCCAATACTAAAACCTTCCCTCCCTTTGGGATCCTTATTAGAAATGATTAGTGTCTGATACCATTGTTCTAATCAATATGCACATGCTGGTTTGTATTCTCCTTCTATTCCTTCCCCCTTTTGTGGAATAATAACAGGAAACATTTAGTAAGTATTTTCTATGTGTCATGCACTATTCTGGTTTTTTTTTTTTTTTTTTTTCATGCATCAACCCATTAACTCCTGACTACAGCCTCCAGGATGAGGAGCAATTGTATTTCTGTGTTTCCAATAAGGAAACTGAACACATTATCCACACATGTGACACCTTTCAACCTAGTTCACATACCTGTCATTTTATCCCATTGTTTTATGTTAAAGATACCCTAGTCCCTTAAAAGATATACAAGCTGTTTTATTGTTGTTGTTGTTGTTTTGATTTGAAAAATTTTGTAAATGTCTCTTTTGAGCATGGGGGAAGGAGAAAGTCTTAATATCCTTGGATATTTTCCCAAAATTGGAATCAATACGTCCAAAGGGACAAGCAGTTTAGTAGCCCTGGCGACATGCTGCTGGCTTTCTCTTTCTAAAGGCTGAACCGATTTAGTGCCATTGGCAATGGAGGTGCGCTCTTGCTCTCCACGTCTCTGCTGAGTTTGGTCTTTCTCATTCTCATGTATCAAGATCCTGTCCACAGGGGTGTAGTTGCCATAGCAGCTCTATACAGTGCACAAAATACATGAATGCTTCCAGAATCCAAGAAGTATTATCCCTGTTCTGTAGACAAACAAAATTATATAGAAGTCAGGGAACTCATCTGACCAAAAGGGAGGAAAACCAGACTTCCTGGTTACCTTAGGAGTATGTAGTTTACTGTAGATATGAGATCAGAAGGAACCTCCCATTTCCAAGGCATAGGACGTGTTATACTGTGCATTATATCACTTAACACACATAAACCTATAAGGAAGTGTTTCTGTCCATATTTTATGTAAAAGGAGTGACGCTCAGAGTTCAAATTACTCAAAGTCACACAGCTAAAAAGAATGACAGCCTGTCTTACCAAACCCCAATCCATGTTCATTCTATTACAATAAATTCATGTCAAATGTGTACTTTATAAGATTCAAATTAAGATATAACTGACAAAAAGAAATTCCCAAGAGCAGGTTAAGTACTCAGAAAAGAATACAATCCTGAGGACTACCCTATGTTGACTCTCACTAAACCAGGCCTGAGAGGGACAGAATATGAATACCCATGTATGGGCCTTGGGGTGGGGGGCAGAATCCCAGGTCTCATGAGTCTAATCTAAGTGGGGACCTGCTGATGGTATCCAACCAGCAGATCATTTCCATCCTGAATGGAGACTTTGGTGTATTTACCTATAGATCTCAGCCAGGTACTCCTGCCACCTCTGGCCTCTATACCTTCTGAGATTCTAGGTGAGGAGAGGAGAGCTGACAGAGTCCCTCTCTGCCCTCTGCTCAGAGGAATAATACATCTAACAGTGCAAGGACTTCCCCTGTGCCAGACTAGCAGTTAAGCGTGTCACTCCGTTAGCCTACACAATAACTCTTAAGCCCATTTTACAGATAAGGAATCAGAATCCACCAGATTCAGTTACTTGCTCAAGATCAGACTCTAAAGTGGATACTGAGAATGATTCCCAGGTTCTGACTTAAATAATTGAGTGGATATAGTACTCCTGGCTGCAATTAGGTCTGTAGAAACAGAAGATGAGTGGAAATAATCAATTTAACCTACTCGTGGGAAAGCCCAGTAGTGACTTGAAGCAATTGGTATGTGAAGCTGAAGATACTTGTATGCTGGTGACAAGGACATGAGATAACTGGGCAGATGATGGAGGTGGAAATATCTCTCTAGAAAGCACATCCAGTGAGAAGACAAGCAGGCCCAGGACAGTACCTGCCAGGATTTCAAGGGTTGGCAGAGAAAGGAATTAGGAAAGAGATTGACCAAGAAGGACCAGTAGAGGAGGGCAAGGGAGAGGAAATGTTCAAAGTAACTGTTGAAAAATGACTGACAAAGCTCAATGTCACATTGCAATGAAGTCATGTCAGCCCTGGAGCACATCCATTGGACTGACAACTAGGAAAACACTGATCACCTTACAAACAGCCATTTCCATGAATGATGGAGTAGAAACCAAATGGGGTGAGCTAAGAGGCTTTAAAAGAAGACATAGGTATCTCAAAAAATGAGTGTGGGACTGGGGATGCAGCTGAGGAACAGCTGTTGTATAGCATGTGTGAGGACCAGGGTTTAATCCTCAGCACCTCAAAATAAAGGAGGGGATAGGTTCCGTAAAGACCATTTGACTGTGAATGCCACTTCTCGGCATTTAGCTCTCACAGATAGATAGCATGGAGACTCGACCTCTTTTCTCTAACAGTTAAAGATTGGTGAGGTGCAGTGGTGCCCTCAGAACGTTGAGAGAGAGAGAGGAATGTTGAAGGAAGGTGAGCCCTCACCTGGCTGAAGAATTAGCAGAACGGTTCCTCTTACCAAACAGGAGGTAATAGTTAGTTAGCACAGTGTTATTTTTGTTGGAGAAACACTTCAATGGTGCCATTCATTGAACACATAATATTATTTTGTGGGGGGGAGGGTTGTTGGCATGTGCATGCACATGTGCTTAGGCCTCCACATAGGAGTGAGCCGTGATGATGATAAAAGTAATGTGGCTGATTCCCAAGAGGAAGACTTCCACCTGACTGTGATCCCCCCATAGAATAATTGACCTTGGAAAACACCAATTCTGACATGCTGCTGTCATTGGAAATGTTATTGGATGTTCTTTTACTTCGTCCCTTCACAGTGGAGAACATGCTTTTGAACAATTGCAGAGATGGCACATATTGCTCATTTTGAGGGCAATTTTCATTTTGGGGTAGAGGAAGGGGACATAAGAGTGACTATGTAGGCTCATAAAAGCTTGCTGTCTGTTGTGCTGGGGTTCCTTTGTAAATCTTTTAAGATGCCTCTAATCTGCTCTCCTGATTTCCCCCAAGTGGCCCTTAGAGAGGCAAGGAAGAGACCTGCTCTCTTTGGGCTGTCTCTTAAGTATGATGAACCTGTGTGCTGTCCACTCTCCACTAGTGTTGTAGAGGCCAAGCTAGTCAGAGCACAGTGGCCAGCACTCCCTGACTCATAGCAGGCCAGCTTTTTAGCCCACGGCATCAGCTCCACTGAGGCTTTGCAGGGTGGTGTGTGCTGGGGAAAGAAGGGGCCCATTGGTTGCTAAGCCAGAATGGAAAGCCAGACCTCTGCTAGGTAACCAACCACTCTGGTTTGTATAAGAGGGTTCTGTCCAGCAAGGCCAGCCTGGCCCATTACAAAGCTTCCGGAAAGAACTGAACAGATGTTTGTGTGTGCATGTGTTCATGTGTGTGCATATGTATGTGCATGTGTATAAGTTAGTGATTCATCCACTCTGGAGGCCTGTTCCAAACAGTTGCCTGAAAAAGGAGGCAGTCCCTTCTTTTTGTTCCCATTCCTTAAACTTCACTACTTGGATTCTTTTTAAGTCCTTTTACAAACAAACTTGGCCAAATCGGGCCGTTCCCTGATGGTCTTACGAAATATATGAGGATTATTTAAGTTGAACTCGAAAAACAAAAGTTTATGGCAACTATAAAATAACTTAGGAAGAGTTCCCCAGCTCTGCCCTATGCCCCCTCGGTTCTGGGGATGGAAACCAGGGCCCCACCCATGCTAGGTAAATGTGCTGCCACAGAGCCACACCTCAGAAGASTTGCCTGGAAGAGTTGCTTTCTGCTGACTTTTTAAATTCTATTCCTAAAGAATTTTGGAGTCACGCCTCATTTTCTTACTAAAGGAGATGTGTGCAGAAGTCCTACTTCTTTGGGGTTTGGGAAACCTGCAGGGATTCAGGAGAGAACCAAGCCCTTATTATCTTGGTGATCACCCAACTCTTGTCCAGAAACGAGGTGTGCATCCTTAGGGTACACTGCCATGCAGGACACAGTCGCATGAATCTTAAAGTTATTTTTTCTGTATGTGCACTCTGTAGTTTTAAAAATCTAAGAACTAACAATAAGAATATAAAATTCATATGGAATACCACCAATGGGATACTGTTAATACTTTGTTTTATATAAATATACATATACAYACATAAATATACACACACGCATATATGTATGTATGTGTGTGTTTTTTAACTTTCCTCCATGCAAACCTGTGTGCTTACAGAAGATAGGAAGGGGTGGGAGGGAGAAAGAAGGGGAGAGAGGGAGGGAGAGAGCAGCGGGGACATTTAACTTCCTTAATGTGGCATCGAGCTGTGCACTCTGCTCTGTGGTCTACCATCCTCTAGCACTAAACTTCCAGAACATGGTATTTACAGACTACATCCCATAACATTGTGTGGCTTATAACCATGCTTCATAAGGAAGCAAATGGCACTCTTAAAGTTACTAGAACTCTGTATTGAGATGGGGCTCAGAGCCTGGACTTCCCTCCATGACATTCTAAGGTCTTTTGCTGCTCTTTTCTCATAGGAACTCCCCACATTTCCGGAGGGAAGACTCTGGGCGCCCAAGAGGCCATGGTGCCGCCCAGCCAGCCCCTGCCTACAGGCGCCTCGGCCATCCACATGAGCCTGCTGGATATGAAGCGAAGTGTGGCTGAACTCAAGCTCCAGCTCCAGCAGATGAGACAACTCCAGGTATCCCTCATGAATGCACCCTCTGTCTCACTGGCTAAGTCTCCCCTCACCTCCTCCCCTAGCCCACCCCACTGCATCCTCTCTGGGCTCTTTCTGCCATCTTTTTCCTAGGGGCTAATTGAAGACCTGAAGCATTAGAACCATAATGGCCGGGTTTCCCCTGCACAACTTAATCCTGGTCTAGAGCCTTCTGCTGCAACTACAGGCCATCTATAATGATTTCTTTAAGTGGTACATGCTCTTACACATGACAAAAGAAAAAAATACTATTCACATTTACTGTTGGAGAAGACTCAATAGACAGGAGCCCTGTGGAGCATTCTAACAGCCAGTTAAGGCTGCCAGCTCAGTGTAGGCTCCTTCTTTCTCCCCAGGGAGCAGGCGCAAGGTGCAACAGTCAGCCAAGCTTTTTTTGTTTTGTTTTTGTTTTTTTATTTATTTATATGCAAGGAACTATGATGTATTTAGAACTATGAATTTAGAATAGAAGATGAATTCATAAAGAAAAAAGCCATCCTGGATGATTTGTTGAGAAAAACATCTGCATTTTATTTGCATAGTATGTTCCAAGTTTTTTTTTTTATCCTTTTCCATTGTTGAGGAATATATGTACTATAGGGGAATCAAAGGGGAGAGAAAATAACTCTCATGTCACAAATCTTGGTCAACAAATCCCGTAAATCTTACACTGCATAAAACTTCTATCACTTGGTATAAGGACTAGGGAGCTGGCTTGCATGTCTCTTTATGAGGTCACAGGATTGCTTCATGGATCAGCCTCACACCTCCCTGCCTGTTGTGGTAGGTGGAGCACCGAGRATATAGTTCTGGCTCAGACTTTATTCAAGATATTCCCTGGCTTCCTTGAAGAAGCTCTTGGGCTGGTTGTGGTGGTGCATGTCTATAATCCCAGTGGCTCAGGAAGCTGAGACAGGAGGATCGTGAGTTCCAAGCCAGCCTCAGCAATGGCGAGGCCCTAGTATCTCATTGAGACCCTGCCTCTAAATAAAATACAAAACAGGGCTGAGGATGTGGCTCAGTGGTCAAATGTCCCTAAGTTCAATCCCCAGTATAACCCCCTCAAGAATAAAACCAAAGTTCATGAGCCAAACGTTGCTAACAGGAGAGCACACAGGAGCCACCACTGTAGCGTCCTCAGTAGCCAGAAGAAGGCAACCCCCTTAGTCCCCAAGGTGCAGTAAGGAAAGGTCTTTGAGTCACAGCTCTTCTGTCCCTTCCACACACTAATGACATAAACCCTACATTTTTCTCACCACCTTATTATGGCTAAGAAAATTATTTCCCCTTGCCCTCCGCATACCAGAGGACAAAAAGAGCAGCTGATTTGAGGGATCTGCCCCAAGGCCCTAGCTTAGGTCACAGGAGTTAATAGAAGAGACACACTGGTCAGTGCTCAGATCCCCACACCTTGGATATTTGGTGCAAATTTACTTACATCACTTCTGAATCATGTCGTCGGTGAAGTGGCCCATCCCTTGCATGGGCTTCTCCTTGCTTCACAATTTTTAAAGACTTTGCAATGAAATGAAGTATCCAGGCTGGGCTTGGGTTGTATGTTGGGGTGATGACACAGATGTCTTCAGTGTCCAGGCAGTAATATAACAGGGGAAGTGAGGAGGGACAAGGGCAAAGTTGTCCCCTTAGAGAACCTTCACCACTCTGTCCTAGCCAACCCGTAGCCTGATGCAAGAGAATCTGGAAATACAGGTTTTACAGGAAATATATCTATCTTTAAATGTTGGAAAGTAATTAAACCCAATTGTTTAGTGCTCTGATGGCCAGAGGACMCATCTGCAAGCCAGAGATGGTCAGGGTTTCTGCAAGTGAAGTTCCTCCTCACCCTGCTCCTGTCTTTTGGCGCCACCTGCTGGCCATTTGGAAATTATGCTCTCCTTGTTGTGCTCCCCCCACCATAAGAAAAATGAGTGGATCTATCATTTATATAGAGAAGTTGCTGGTTTGAGGACGAGAGAAGAGAAATTGTTGGTTTGAAGATGAGAAGTAGAATTAATTTAGCATCAATTTCTTACTTGCCCTATATATTTCATGGGTGTTAAGGTGAATCTGTTAGCACATCTATGGTGTTCCTATCTGTAGCATTGCACTTTGGTGAATGGTGTCATTTGGTACTCCAGCTGGCTAGCAGAGGTCTCCTGCAACTTGCCACTCTTTGCAGCCTTGAACTTGAAGGTTTTTTGATCAAGGTCTAGGCCATTTTAACACCCAAGTTCCGCTATTGCTTCAGAACTGCTCAGGTCCTCTGGCTCTCCGAAAATAAAGAACAATGTACAAATGTGCTTTTGAGCTTAGAAATGTCTATAGTTCTCAAGTGCAGACATGTTGGGGAAGATAAACACCTTATTTCTTAACCCAGCTGCTATTGTTTCTACCTGTGACTTGGTATTCTTCCAGTGTGACTTCCCTCCCCCTCAGATTTCTATCTTTTCAGTCAGGGGAGTCTGTTTAAGACAAAAACAACTCAGAATAATTAAGCTATGGCAGCACCCATTCTCCTTCAGCATATGTATTATTATACAACAAAAATGAAGTGCAACCCCAAAGTGATTATAAGGCCAATAATGGAGCTATCATTAGAGATATGCGAAACTCTCTAGAAGAGTCTCAAAAGAACAAAAATTGAATTAGAAATTCAAATGTTCTTTGAACTGTGTTATAAAAATACTGAAACTGAATGAAATCTTTGTGCTTGGCAGTCAGCTCCAGTAATTAGATAATTAAATCATTGGAAAATCCTAGACTGCAAGCATATCGTATTTGAGCATCTCACTTTCAGCACTGATGGATTCTTCTCAGGAATAGAAATGGGATGCAGACCCAGGAGGGTGTGTAGATTTTAGCAGGGCAGAAGGAAAGTTAAAGAAGGTAAAAGGAGCCTAAGCAGATCAAGAGAACTTCTGAAAATCACTTCATATAATTCTCTGCTCTGCAGTTTCACTTGAATTCTCTACAGATGGTTCTCAATCCTGGCTGTCCGTTAGAGCCACTTCAGGCTCTTAACAAAATGACCGATACTGAGGCACCCCTGCCAAAGTCTGACTTTAATGGTGTGGACTCGAGGTGTGGACTAGCTGGTGATTCTAGAATGTTCCAGGGCAAGAACTACTGCTCTCAGGTTATTATGGATGCTCATTCTTATAAGGTACCTCATGGAACTGTTTAGATTTGTCAGCCATCACAGAAGGTCAAATAGGAACTAAGGAAGTTACCGACCAGTCTGTAAGAACAGAATACACAGTAACCTAAAGCCTCTTTCGCAGGGGCTAATCAGATGTGCCCTCTGCTTAGGGATGTTTGGTAGGATTGCTATATGCATCTTTTATGTTGCTATTTTCCTGTTCCCAAATAACAGTCTATAATGGGCTAGCAACAATGGAAAATATTTTTCTTACTCACAACTGTTCTCTTTCAAAAATAATTATCTATGTATATTACCTTTCCTGATATGATTGGGAGGAGGAAGCTTTTTTCTGAGGGATGAACAACATCTTTTTCCCAAATGGCTCAGTACTTGGATTTTGCCAAGGTAATTCCAGACTCATAGAAGCGACTACACTTCTAACCCTCCCTGTGGGCTGAGGAGAAATAAGTCTATAAAAGAGTTGGTGCAGGTTCTGTGGAAACCAAATGAGACTTGACCTAAATCAAGAGACTAGAAACATTCAACTTATTTAATTCCCACAAATTTTTTTTCTTGACCCTATCTCCTAATTGTGATACTCATGACCAAAAAAAAAAAAAAGAGTTATTCTGAATTTAATGTTACATTTTTAAGACTACTGTGAATTTGCTATTTCTTTCCAGAGAGGGAGGATCAACATGATAAAAGAAACAGCAGTACACAGAGCCCTTGTGTTAGAAATGATAAAACTCAATAGTTATCTGAAAGTATCTTTTTATATGATACTACTTCTTGTTTCAGGGTCTTGTTTATTTTCTGATGTCCAAAATAATGGTCAGGGGAATGTGTATTCTGGTGGCTTGTGTGGAGAAAACCTGTTTTCTCCTGCCAGGCAGAAATAATAAATAAAACTAGTACAGGGCTTGAAAATTGGGCTGCTTGGTACAATATACCCAGCCTCAATCAGATCTTCAGACAATAAGAAGCCTGAGATGGGGAGACAGCACCCAGATAACATGCAGSTGTGACCTGGCATCCTCTGTCTTGTTCCCTAAAGCCTGGGAGAACTTGTCCAGTTGCTCATGAGTCATTCTGGGGTCTGGTGATCATCATGAAATTTCCCAACTTTTGGTGCAGCCGCTGTTCAGTATCACTGTTAGACAGAAAAACCATTCCCATCACACTATCCACTGTGGTCAAAGCTGATTGTACCAAAGAAATCAAGAATAAGTACATGAAGTACAGGTCTATTTTTAGRTAGGTGGAATTTGATTTAAACAGTTTCCTACTTTGTTTATGACATTGATATGGATAACTCATTTGGCCCAATTAAAATTTTAATGTCCAAGAACATTATTTCTGCCTAAGTATGCTTATTAACGTGTCACAGACATTGTCAGTAAATCATGTTTCCAGCTATGAARGAATAACTGCAGATCTACTTGCCTTCCCGCTGTTGACAGCTACAGAACTGAAAAGCAAATGAAACAACTAATTTCAGACACTAGGCAACAGATAATGGTGGTGTGATACATTGGAGAATGGGAACAAAGGTGGTAAGACCCACCAGTGACCCAGATTTCTGCCTAGAGATGCTTTTCAAATGTAATGCTTGGGATACCCCAAGCAGCCCAGGATCAGCTGCTGGGTTGAAATAAGATCAACATTTAGAGAGCTGAGGCAGCTAGAGTTTGTGGAATGGAGTACCAAGAAGAAGGAAGCTGTACACAGAAAGAAATATGTAAATCTGTGGGTCTGTTGTTGGGTCATAAGCCARTTCTGTGTGGTGTGGAAAGACCACTGAGCCAGGCAAAGACCAAGTTGGGAGAGCTGGGGGCTG